TAAGCAACCTCAAAGAAAAAAATTTATTACACTTCCTGTAAAAATTACAGATCAATTCCATCAAAATTGAGCGAATATTAGTTATTTTAAATATTTTTAGACATTTGAACTTTAAATGTTAATTATTCTCTCAATTTCAATGAAATAGATATACCGTTTCTACAGAATATGCAATTCATTCTTGTCTTTAAGATTATTTAGTATCACTTGTGATATTATCTTATAAAAATAAAAGTTTTATATGTAGCAGTGATTAATAATTATTTCCAATTTTAATTTCATAATAAACTCAGCGATTAATCGCGATTCTGGACTCACGATTATAATTGTGATTCTGGACTCAGCGATTAATTATGATTCTGAACTCACAATTATAATCGCAATTCTGTACTCAGCGATTAATCGTGATTATTGACTTATGATTATAATTGCGATTTCAGACTCACGATTATAATTGCGATTTTAGACTCAGCGATTAATCGCGATTAATCGTCGGCCAATAGAAACGATTAATCAAGTCTAAATATTAGGGTGATTCCTAATCCTATCGCATTGTATAAAAGTTATCGTTAAAACATGCAATCTGAAATTGATTTATTGAAACAAGAGAATGTTAGACTTATGGCTAGAATCAATGAATTGGAACAGATCGCAAAAGAAAAAGATGAACTTGAGGTTAGAATTGTGGAATTAGAACAGACTATAAAGTTAAGTCAAACAAAAAATGCTGAGCTCAAGAATGAAATTGTAAAATTAAAACGAGCTGTTAAGAATATTAAAAAGCAAAATCGAACAGTTACTAATGATTTAGCCCTATAAGGCCTGCTTTCGTAAAAATCTCCGGAATATTCCACTCCATTACCTAACAAGCGTTGCTTGAATGGTGAAAATGCGTAGATTAAAGATTCTTCAACTCACCACGAAATAGATCAATTCATGTCTAACACTGACTTAGTAACTTCAGACACTTCAGAACAGGTAGTTAACACAATTTCTGATACATCTAACCTTAATGAAACTTGCTCCAGAAGATCTAAATCATTAGAAGATAAAGAAATTGATATCTTTTTAGATTCAGAAAATAAGAAAAGGGTTAGTAATGAGATAAGGCAGAGGAATATGGAAAAAAAACTATTACATAGTAATGAAGCTTTCGCTTCTCAGGATCAAGACCTATACCTGCCACCCAAATTCAAAATCCAAATGCCAAAATCCCAAATGCCAAAATTCCAAATTCCAAATCTCAAATTATAATTAGTATTTTTTGCCAAAATCCCAAATCCCAAATCCCAAATACTAGTAATTTGGGATTTTGGCGTTCCAAATCCCAAATGATTTGGGATTTGGGCAACACGTATATCAAGACCTATCCTTAGTTAATCAGGATGCTTCAACGGGATCTGAAAAGACAATAAACTTATCATTATGTGATGCAAAAACCATGACAAAATATCACGATTTTAACAATTCTGATACTACCTCCAAAATACTTGAATCAGATAATCAAATCATAGAAGGTTTAATACAAGAGATAACCTATGATCAAGTGAAAAATATTGTTTCTTCCAAAATCAATCCTTTATATTCAAATAATGATAAGGTAAATGTTACTGAAATCACTAAACCTTGTATATAGGATATGGCTCTGTATTCTGCGCAAAGTTTATTAGACTTATTTGATAAAGTAATTAAATCAGGTCAAAAACAAATTTTAAATTGGTATTATTATTCTTTGGAATTTGAAAATAAGGTTAAAAGCCTTATAGCAGATGGTCAGATTAAAGATAAAACAGCAAGATCAAAAATATATAAGGAAATGAAATCTTTTCTACCTAATATTACTGATGTAAATTTGTGTAAGAAAACTGAAAGAGCGAGAAAAATTCCTAAGCTATTTGGTGATAGAGGAGTAGGCATAGATAAAATTGAATACATTACATATAGTACAAGTACAATTTCGGAATTGAAAAATACTCAAATTCAGCATATCATAAATAAGGTGACTTCAAAAACTGTGACAAAATGTCACGATCAGATTAATGTAGAGGTAAGTGATCTAACTAAATTACTAATCTCCAATTCTTCCAATTTGAAAGTTTTCAATGTTAGTGTGCCACCTATCTCTAAACCTAAGGAGGATTTACCGAAAGCCAAGACTTTATCTAAAAAACAAAATAATCCAGTTCACACCCATGCTAATTTCCGCAACAAAACATTGGAACAATATTCTGATATATTTATGAATATAGTAATGAAGGTACCAATTATTATGGAATTAATTCTGAGTCATTATGTCCAATATACAAGTTAAATCATGAGAATGGAGAAGGTGTAGAGGGCAATTACGAGGCTGGATCCTACTATATCAAGTGTGAAGTATCCGAAATTGATATGATCCAGTACATTGGTTGTGCCAGCTCTGCTGATGCTGAAATAATTGTATAAGTTTTGTTTATTTGTATTTTCTTGTCAGCTATATATTACTATGCAATAAAGATCGGATCTATATTAATCGAAATATATTTAATACATGAAGTATACTTTCTTCGAAAGATATTTTTTATGTGGGAACCTACATTTAAAGATGTAATCCGTGGATGACCAATCTGCCAATCTGACGGATTATCCGTGATAACACAGATTAACAGATCACTTTTTAAAAGTTTAAAAGATCCGGATTAAAAAAAAAAATAATTCGAATAATTCAAATTATATGTTAAATCCACAGATTGAAAGATTACTCCACGGATTGAAGGATTAATCTGAATTATTTTTTCAATCTGCGGATTACTCCTTCAATCCGCAGATTATTCTTTCAATCCGTCTCTAAAATAAAAAAAAATAAATATTCCATTTCACGAATTTATTTAAATCTACCTTAATTTTCCCACGTTCCTTTTTTTTTTTTTTTAATTAAAAAAATGGTTGAAGAAAGAGAAAGTTCACTATATTTAAGTGGTACTCAGAAAGAACCACAGGTCGAAATCCATATTTCAGGCATATATCAGGGACCAATCGGGTAGCTATCGGGGGGACCAATAGATATCCG